ATACCATATACATGCTAAGTTTGCGGACTATGCGCTAGATATTTTGACACTGCCCTAGTTCAGGGCACCGCTTTTAGGTACGTTTAATTAGAAGGTTGCGTTTCGGAGAATGAACAGTGTGTATATAGTTAGATATAATATTAAACGGGGAGAACTTGTTATACCAGGTGGTCGGCTAGTAGGTAATTTATTTCTTAAAAATGCATTTTATAAAATGAATACCCTACTTGCAAACACTTGGGTTGAGTAATATACCATAGAATTAGCCTGGCTTTCGATGGGAGCGAGGTAAATATTATAAACCTATTGTACATGTTCCAATGCAGGCAAAGAAATCATTTATTCATCAGGAATCCAAATGCCAAATTACAACCACTTCAGAGTCAGCCAAAAATGGGATAGGTACTTCTTTATATGAAGTAATAGTAAAAATGTGTACCTACTTCGAAAACTTTGCGACAAATATATTTTTCAAATTATAGCTTTTTGATGGGAAAATTCCCCTAAAAACTTAAAGTACATAAATATAACGGATCCTTTTTTGGGGGGCTAGCAAAAATTTAGACCTTTGTAGACAATTTTCTGTAGAAATGTGTTTTACCTTACAAGAAACTGGAATTCAACATTAAAATTACTTCAAGGGAAGATGTGAGTAAAACTTTACACACTGCGAAAATACATTGATCAAACCCCCGCAATGTGAAATTACAGTTACTTTGGTTTTAAAATGTGGTTGAAATCTTCAAAATATCGAACATGTGTGGTACCATGATATGGGAGCTTAAAAAAACGTAAACCGATATTGATAATTTCTGGTAGGAAGATTTCCTTTTCAAAATATCAAATTGGAACCAATGGAGCCAATCGAATAATGAGGGGTAACATTTATTCGGGTCTCCCGGAAAATTTAGCCAATATAGATATTTTGGAAGGGATATTTTTTACACAGAGAATTCAACATATCAAGTTAAATCCAATCAGGTTGAAACACATGTAAAAAAAAAAATTACAGCCAATTCGATTGAAAAAATTCAACTAAATCTGAGTAAGTATGGTGTACCGCTCTATGGAAGCTAACCCTAAAACTTTTGATAGGGAGACAATTCGGTTTAAAAGTGTGCCCAGTGTAACCAAAATATGGAACAAAGAGGAGTACCGCTATATGGGTTACCGCTTCCGCTTTTTTAGGGAGATTTTCTACCCATTGAGAACAAAAAAATATCAAACTACTGCTGATTAGTTTGAAAAATAAACCCAAAAGCTTGAACATCACGAATATATATTGGAGGGTAACGTTATATGGGGACACACCCTGAAAAGTGCGGGAAGTTGCGGAAGTCAGTGGGTCTTTTGCAGCGATAATGGGTTTCTAGTCTCAAAACATGTGGCGAGAGTTTCGGAAGAAATCACCGAGATTTTTGGGCTAATGAAACGAATATAGGCATCCTAAATCAACCAGTAATCATGAGCTCCTAGACTTCTGCTCTGAAGGATGATAGGATATTATTGACCTCGTACTTGTTAGTATTTAATGGTTGTAGCAACGGGAACGATTTATTTCAAAAGAAGTCTGGTTGTTACGTTAGAGTCCTCCCCTAAATTCTTAAAATTAAAAATTAAAACCGTAAAAAAATCTTTTAGAAAAGCAAATAAACCGATGCAAAACTCGGACTGGAATATGGACTCTTTTATTAGTGCGAACTTATGAGCTCATTGTTCAAAGCAAAGTCGCAGGAGGGAATAGCAGCACTTTATAGTGCCACAGTGAATCACTTCTCGATCTCATTGAGGAGAGAAACTGCTTCCGTCTTAAGTATAGCATGCCAACTGATATGTGGAACAATACCCCGAATATGGGAAAGGAAGCAAACGCTGATATGTATGTTACGGAAGGATGCTGACCCTTCTACTGGGGAACTGTTTTATATGCGGCAGTTGTCGAGAAGTGTTTCTGTAGCCAGAGAGGGAAAAACAAACAGGATAACCGATTATGGCTCCCAAAAGTCTTAAAGAGTAAGATGCCTATTGCCAAGGAAATGTTGAACCTTGCAATATCTAAGGCAAGGTATTCCTTCTGATTAGGAAAAATATAAATGTCGGGAGGACGTACGCCGTGACTGTCTTCAAAATGTCACTAGGAATCTTATATTGAAATAATTCGAACATCGCGTATGGTGACTACTCCTGTAAATGCCTCAACTAATGTGGTGTCTAAGGGTTGGCACTGTAAGACACAAAAAAAACTCTCGCAGAACGAGACAGAAAGCTGGAACCACATCTCAACGTAAGCCAAACCCACATCAAAACCCTTGACAATGCAGAGAATGAGGTCGATAAAGGAACACAAATCTGTTGCAAAGAAGCCATTTTTGATGCAGATATTTCTACTATCTCTCTCGTGTACATCGGTAGCGCGTGAGAAGGATAGTGGTAAGGCTATCACAGGAAAGATGAAAGTTGGACTAGGTGTCAAGCCTTCGCAGATACCTATGAAGAGTGTCACACTCAACACATGGTCCCAAATAACCAAAAAATATTTGGTAGGATAACCCTATATAAAGGGGGTTCCTAATAAGGAATCTGCTGACTACATTGAACCTCTGTGGGAGGGTTGTTATCTAGCAGCTGTATTTGTTTATGAGATATGGTGCCGTATAATGTATCCTGCATAGTTCCGCATACGAAACTATTGAATGTTCTCTAGTGGCATACAAGTTGGCAAGCTAAGATACATGTCTCAATTAAGCAGTTTGCAAAGATATGCATCGAATGTTAAATCATAAAATGGCGGATCTCACACTCTTGACTCGACTGTGTTTATAACCTTCTTACCTCAGCTTTGAGGATGTTCCCTTACAGAGAATCCTTGGACGATTTATCAATATATAACCAGTAAGGAAAGCAGTAAAGTCGGTCGGGGCCGACTATATGATACCCTTCACAACTATGGGTATATTAAACCGGACTATTAACATGAAATTGGATGAAATAATATATGTAATATTTATCTAAATGTGAATCTACCTAGATATAACCATAAAGTATGTAAATCGATTTCAAACAAATATAAATAGGTCATACGTTGAGCTATCTCTGTACTTTTAGAAAACGCAACTACGTAATTCTATGCTCAATTTTGTACGTTGTACACAATTTGATGTGAATCTGACTAACATGAGGAGTTTGATGCGAAAATATATATGGAAGCTCCATCCAAATATTAAGCGATTTCAAGCAAACTTGTCACAGGTTAGGTTATACTAATTTCAGAACGTTTTATTCCTATTGGTTCCTTGGTGCGTCAATTACTTAAAATATGTGAGCTATATATGTGCGAGCTATATAGAAATCTGGACCGATTTTCTCGAAACATGGCAGACATCACTCTAGGCCCAATTCAGTACGTTATGCCAAATTTCGTGCAAATCGAAGGATATATAGGGACTTTGGGGCACCATTACATGAAATCGGACGAAACTATATATGGGAGCTATATCTAAATCTGGACCGATTTTCTCGAAACTTGCCAGACATCATTCTAGGCTCAATTCAGTACGTTATGCAAAATTTCGTGCAAACCGAAAGATATATAGGGACTTTGGTGCACCATTTACATGAAATCGGACGAAACTATATATGGGAGCTATATCTGAATCTGGACCGATTTTCTCGAAACTTGACAGACATCACCCTAAGCTTAATTCAGTACGTTATGCCAAATTTCGTGCAAATCAAAAGATATATAGGGACTTTGGGGCACCATTACATGAAATCGGACGAAACTATATATGGGAGCTATATCTAAATCTGGACCGGTTTTCTCGAAACTTGCCAGACATCATTCTAGGCTCAATTCAGTACGTTATGCCAAATTTCGTGCAAATCGAAAGATATATAGGGACTTTGGGGCACCATTTACATGAAATCGGACGAAACTATATATGGGAACTATATCTAAATCTGAACCGTTTCCTTTTGCCTGTTACAAACATATGCACAAAGGCTTAATACCCTGTACCACAGAGTGGTGAAGGGTATAAAAACGGATTTAAGATGGAGGAGGACACAGCTGGAATAATTTTCTGTTATAAAGGCGATATAAAGTGTAGGACCAATTAAGCTTCCATTTTTAAGGACCATATAAAAACTTAGATTATCTAAAGATGTTTTAATTTTTAATTTTATTTTTTGAGAATTTAAAATATTTTTTGTAGAGGATCAATGGGGCGTTGATTTTTAAAAAGATTTTTTAAGGTGGATTCTTAAAATGATTATTTAAACTTGGATTTTTAAAATGATTGAAAGACATGGATTTTTAAAATAATTTGTCCAGGATGATCAAAGAGGCGTGGATTTCTAAAAGATTTTTTTCAGGAGGATCAGAGAGGCGTGAATTCCTAAAATATTTTTTTTCAGGAGGATCAATAGTTTATAAAGGATCATTAAGGCATCACAGTTGCACAAGAAACCGTGGTTTAGTGTCTTGATCAACGAGGCGTCGATTTTTAAAATAATTTTTTGGGGGATCAAAAAGGCGTGGATTTTAAGGATAATTTTTTAGGAGGATCAAAGAGGGGTGGATTTTTAAAATATTTATTGGGAGGATTAAAGAGGCGTGGATTTCTTAAATATTTTTTCAGGAGGATCAGAGAGGCGTGAATTCCTAAAATATTTTTTTCAGGAGGATCAAAGAGGCGTGGATTTCTAAAATATGTTTTCAGGAGGACAAAGAGGCGTGGATTTCTAAAATATTTTTCAGGAGGATCAAAGAGGCGTAGATTTCTAAAATATTTTTTAGTAGTAGTTTACTGTAGTTTACTGACTTGAGACTGGTGATTATATACGTGGATATTCAAGTGGCACTATGTGAATTTACATTCGAGGGCAGTTCATGAATCGCATGATAGAGGGGTATATATAGAAATGTGTACCTACATCGTTCATTACCTTTTATACAACCAACATTTCAAAATATTATATTCAGTTCTCGCATAACTCACCTGAAATAATCATATCTCCCCTCTCCGTTGTCCAATAATTAATTGATGCTGGATATGCTTCGGTATGACATTCCAGTGTTACATCCTGGCCAATGTAGGCTCCTTCCAATTGATTGGGTATTGAGAGCATTGGGGGGACTGTAAATAAATTGCACAAAAAAAAGAATAACAAAATTACAATACATATCTAGACACTTACTATATATGTACATATATATAGAAAACAATAACAACAAAAATGCAAACACAAACTACTTTTAATTGAAAATATCTGTTTTCGTCATTTCATTACTTTGGGGTTTTTTTCTATTTTTTTCTTTGTGTTATTTTTTCTGCAACGTTTCAATTTTCCCATTCGATTTTGACTTCATATCCCATACTCCGTCTGTGTGTGTCTCTCTATCATAGCTATTAAAAACAATTAATAGTTTTGTGCTTCGGTATTTTTTCTCTCTGTTTATTTCATTCAATTCCTTTCAATTTGTGTAAATAAATTTCATTTGAAAAAAGGATAACTAATTCCATTAGTGACTTGGGGGAGGAAAAGAGAGAAGCATACGTTTTTATGGAACAGGAAAAAATGGAAATTGTATCAATTGTCCTGTCATTGCCAGACAGACAGTATCAGCCACAAGAAACAAAAATAAATAACAAAAATTATAGTCATATATAAGAAATAATTGATGTAGTATTGAAATACTTGGAATTGAAAAAAATTCTTGCTTTGAGGTTTTAGTTTTTCTGTCAATTATAACTAATGAAATATGATCTCGGAAATAATCCGAAAAACTGTGGATTTTTTGAAACCAAAGAATATTTTTGGATGCATATATAAGGCCTGGATTTTATAAACATTAATTTTTCGTGACCTATATAAGGCATTTTCGAGGCCTATATAAGGCGTGGAGTTTTTAAAGGCTAATTTTCGAGGCCTATATAAGGCGTGGATTTTTTAAAGATTAATTTTTCGAGGCCTATATAAGGCGTGGATTTTTTAAAGATTAATTTTTCGAGGCCTATATAAGGCGTGGATTTTTTAAAGATTAATTTTTCGAGGCCTATATAAGGCGTGGATTTTTTAAAGATTAATTTTTCGAGGCCTATATAAGGCGTGGATTTTTTAAAGATTAATTTTTCGAGGCCTATATAAGGCGTGGATTTTTTAAAGATTAATTTTTCGAGGCCTATATAAGGCGTGGATTTTTTAAATATTAATTTTTCGAGGCCTATATAAGGCGTGGATTTTTTAAAGATTCATTTTTCGAGGCCTATATAAGGCGTGGATTTTTTAAAGATTAATTTTTCGAGGCCTATATAAGGCGTGGATTTTTTAAAGATTAATTTTTCGAGGCCTATATAAGGCGTGGATTTTTTAAAGATTAATTTTTGAGGCCTATATAAGGCGTGGATTTTTTAAAGATTAATTTTTCGAGGCCTATATAAGGCGTGGATTTTTTAAAGAATTAATTTTTCGAGGCCTATATAAGGCGTGGATTTTTTAAAGATTAATTTTTCGAGGCCTATATAAGGCGTGGATTTTTTAAAGATTAATTTTTCGAGGCCTATATAAGGCGTGGATTTTTTAAAGATTAATTTTTCGAGGCCTATATAAGGCGTGGATTTTTTAAAGATTAATTTTTCGAGGCCTATATAAGGCGTGGATTTTTTAAAGATTACTTTTTGGAGGCCTATATAAGGCGTGGATTTTTTAAAGATTACTTTTTGGAGGCCTATATAAGGCGTGGATTTTTTAAAGATTACTTTTTGGAGGCCTATATAAGGCGTGGATTTTTTAAAGATTACTTTTTGGAGGCCTATAAAAGGCGTGGATTTTTTTAAAGATTAATTTTTCGAGGCCTATATAAGGCGTGGATTTTTTAAAGATTACTTTTTGGAGGCCTATATAAGGCGTGGAGTCTTTAAGGACCATTTGTTCAAGATTTAAACTCCAAGCTCTTAGCCCCATCCAACATAATTTTCCCATTTCTCTTCCGAAAATTAGTTTCTTTACGACACCATAAAAATCAATGTTTATATTCCGATATAAAATTACCAATTTGCTGCACTTTTCATTTCTCTCTTTTTTTGTCAAAAGTTCAGATAAATAACCATTAAATAAAAATTAAAATAACCATGATTTTTGTTGCTGTCATTCTTACTGTTGGTGTTATTATACTTACATTGAACTCTTAAGTTGACCCGCCTGCTAATGGACGGTGGCACTCCGTTCGATGCAACACACAAATATGCGGCCATATGAAGTCGACTCACTTTGGTAATGTGCAAATGTTCGCCATCGACCACATTAACTGAAATGAAACGAAGCGAAATAAACGAAAGGAGAAATACAAGGACATCAGTCTGCGGGGTGAATGATAATGGTTTGGATCATTAAACGATTGCAATTTAAATTTTGATGAACATAATGTTGGTTGGTTGTACGACCAACCGAACAAACGACCGACCGACCGACCGACCGACCGAGGTTACAATTTTATTTTAATTGAGGTTATGCTTACATTTAAATGGACATGCAACTCTATATACATATATATTTAAGGAGCTCATCAGAATAAAATTTTATGCAGATAAATGGCAAATAATAACAACAGAAACTTTTGGGGGAAATGAGGACAAAATTGTAACCAGGTTAAATGTTTACTTTTAATGGGCGATCAAAATTAAATAACATTGGAAATAAGGTCAACATTTTAAAGAAAAAAGTTCGAATTAAAAATTATATTTTCCAATTTATGAATCTGACGTTAAATTGTTCGATTTTTATTCAACTCACCATGCTCTCCACCAATTAACATTTCTTCACCATCCTCTCGCCGCCACATTACATATGGCTCGGGATAGCCACGTGCCTTACATGTCAGCGTTACATTGAGGCCTTCTCGAGCGACAACATCATGACTGGTCATACCCTCGACAATCATGGGGGGTACTGTAATGGAAAACGAATACATTAATTTCTTCATTCTATTATGTTTAATTTTTTGTGTTTTTTTTCAAACTTACCAACAACTTGAAGATATCCCTTCCGCGATCTCATTGGATCTGTATTCACCTGACACATATACCAGCCGCGATCACTTTCATCCACCTCTTTGATATGCAGATACCACGATCGATGATCATTGTATGTCAAACTAATACGATTATTTTGTATAATGACATTGTGATGAATCGAGAGTATGGTTTGGGTGTCAACTCGAACCCAGGCAACCTGAAAATGTATAAGGGTACAAGTTTCATTCCCGTAACAAAAATAATAGTCGAAAGCGGCCGACCTTGTGATACACTATATTGCACAAATGCAGAGTACTTTGAAACATTAAAATATACATGGGAAATAATTTGGCAGCAGTTCCAAGGACCCAAATAAGGGCGGGTCCATAGAAATGTGTAAGGGTAGACGCAAATATTTTAAGTGAAGAAGCTTAGATTTTAGAGACCACAGCAAGCAAAAAGTTATAAGAGAATATTGGTGTAGGTTCCACGTACGGTATTTTAAATTCGATATTTGTGATTCTTGGTTGGTAGGGGCTTTTATGACATGGAAATATATTTCTACCGAAGTTGTTGCTTTGTGACATTACCACATAGCAGAAACAACCCATTTCCTTGGCAAAAAATACTAATAATAAATAAACCACTAACTATAGAGTTGTGAACGCTACTTAGTAGTGGTAGCATTGTGTAAGAATACGAATATGGAATTCCTTTAGAATACTTTTAAATTCACTTCTATATTGTATTCTTGAAGAAGAAATGAAAAGAACCAAAAATAAAGTCGTAGGTCTGTTCCAAATTTTTAAATTTCCCACCATTTTCCACATGTAAATCCCTTTAATCGATCGCGCCCTTTTGTGAGAAATATTTGATTATAAATTGTCTGCTAGTAGGTTATTTTTGCTCTGTGGAAACCACTGAAACTCTCGTTAGAAAACTTGCCTAAAACTTCAAACCACAGAAAAAAGGCGGGACCTTCATTGAGAGACCGACATCGATCATTTTCTGCTAAGATTTTTTTCGCCCTCAAAAATACCGAAATGCAAAATTAGAGTAAATTCGGTTTCGATTAAATCCTAAAAAAGGAAAAATATGAAGGTTTTTCGTGTGTCTAATCCACCAAAATAACGAAATTCAGAACGAACCGTTGTATTAGGCCAGCCCTAAAATGAGGACCAATATTGATAGTTTTTCGTAGGACGATGTTTTACCTAATGACCTACCCAAAATTGGGTCGAAAAACCTGTCCAAAATACCGTTTTGCGACAGGTCAGCCTTATGAATATTGAGGGCATATACACTTTGGTACTGCAAAAATGAGCCTCATCGAAATATTAATTTAAGTCACATGTTTCTTTGGATCAAATCCATTCCAGACAATTTAGAAATCGACTCTAATGTCTTTCTGTCTGGCCGGATGGTGCGCACGAAAACTCTCGAAGGGAGAAACCGATAACATCCAAACTTCACACATCGTAATATTTCTACCAAACTTTGTTCAACTTCGAAGATGGGGAATATCGGTCCACTCCGTCTGGCTAGTGATAGATTTCTCGTAAAGTATTGATCAAACAATTTCAGATGTATGCTCGTTTCGTAGATTCCGTTTAGGCCGGTCGTCGAAAATGTGGGAGAAATGATCGAAGTTGACCTTTAAAATGGCAAAACAGCATATAACAAAATGGTGCATATTTGGCCCAAATCGGACATTCGGAAGCATATTAAATAAAGTCTTATATTTCATATAAATCCTAACAGACGTCGCATTTTTAAAGGATCAGTAAAATGAATTTGGATCAATAAACATGTCATTCTGCAACCGATACTAAATTTTTCATTTGGTCAGATATAGAAGCTATACCTCACTTAACACACATCATTCTATACCTAATTCATTACGCTGTGCCAAATTTCGTGCAAATCGAAAGATATATAGGAACTTACCATTTACATTAAATCGGACGAAAATATATATGAGAACTATATCTAAATCTGAACCGATTTTCCCCAATTTCAATAGGGTTCGTCCTTGGGCCAAATAAGTGACCTATGCCAAATGTCATGCAAATCGGATCATAAATGCGACCTGTACTTTGTTCACAAATATACATGGACGGACAATTTCGACAGACACCAATTTCGTCAAAACACAATAACGTCATTCTAGGCTCAATTTTATACGTTGTGCAAAATTGTGTCAATCGAGCAAACATTAGGTGTTTGTTGTGTGGGGCTTTAATGAACAATTTTCATAAAATCGGAAGAAAATATATATGGGAGCTTTAACTAAATCTGAACCGATTTTCAGGAAACTTAACACACATCATTCTAGACGTTATTCGGTACCCAGTGCCAAATTTCGATTTTTACCAAACTTTCTTCCCATTATTCGAGGCTCAAGTCAGTACGCCACGCCAAATTTCGTTCAAATCGAAAGATATATAGGGACTATGGTGCACAACATACATTAAATTGGACAAAAATATATATGGGATCTATATCTAAATCTGAACCGGTTTTCAGAAAAATTAATACATATCATTCTAGACTTATGTGAGTATGTTATGCCAAATTTCGGACAAATTTAACGATATATAGGGACTTTGGTACACCATTTACATTAAACCGTCCTTGGGTCAAATAGATGAGCTGTGTGAAATTTCATCCAATTCGGATCATAAAGGCGACCTGTACTATGTTTACAATTTAACATGAACTGACAGACGAGCGGACATGGACAATTCAGCCAAGTCCAGCCAGGCTGTCAAATCTAGGTGGGACCTTTGTATAAGACCTACAATGATAATTATATAAGACCTACATTGATAATTTTCCGCATAGACGTACATTGATTTTTTTCTGCATAGCTCCTATATTCGGATCATAAAGGCGACCTGTACTATGTTTACAATTTAACATGAACTGACAGACGAGCGGACATGGACAATTCAGCCAAGTCCAGCCAGGCTGTCAAATCTAGGTGGGACCTTTGTATAAGACCTACAATGATAATTATATAAGACCTACATTGATAATTTTCCGCATAGACGTACATTGATTTTTTTCTGCATAGCTCCTATACAGTCGACTCCGCTTTAATGTAACGGAAAAAAAATTTGGATGTTTGTTTCAGTTATCCGTTGTAAAAAAATGTAGAAATGCGGAACGAAGGTTTTTTTCAAATCTTCCAAATGGCTTTAAAAGTTTGGCCGAACGAACATAACGTTCTTCGACGTCAAATTTATATATACCTGACACACACGTACCATATGTCGGAAAGTCATTAATTACAGAAAAAATACGTTAGGGTGGGCTTTGGAGATGTGTATTCCTCAATGCAAAATATTCGGTCATTATCCTTCATTCTCACGATTTTCAGTACAGTAAATCGGAGTCGACTGTATATATTTTCGGTCGCTTTCATCTAAATGGTCCACCAAATACTCAAAGTACTCACAACGTGCCTGAATTGATAAAATAATGGTTTCTACTAAATTTTCATGAAATTGATTCAGATGTAGATGTATAGTTTTATCGAGTTTATATTTTTGTGTTCCAAATACCCGACGTTTGAACAGCTGGCATGAATTTTGCATGCCAAATGATGTGTGTAAAGTTTTTCTTAGTTTGATACGTAGCATATCATTTAGTCCTTACAAGGTATTAAAAGGTGACTTGAAAATACGGATTCTTGGAGGTAAAAAAGTCCTGGTAGTAACTTGTTCATATTTCATAACGTAGCTCCCACATTTAAAGATTCACAACATTTAGGTTTTTCGACGGATATATTGTAATTATATATTCGATATGGCTATATGTACAGGGATAGGATAAACTCCCTTTTGTCAGGCTGAATCCCAGTTCGTTGATTTTATTAAAAACAACTATTTATTAGTGTAGAATGTATGGCATTGTCCGCCGAGGGTTGTGGCCCATATTTATATATTTTAGGTATTTCAAGATTTTAGAGAACATAATATCGTCTAATTCTCTGTATATTAAAGGTCCTACTGAATTTTCCATCTAGTTGTTCCGTTTTCTCAAAGAATAAAAAACCTCCTAGCCTCACAAAAGGGTCCTGACCGAAAGTTTTCTTAACATCCAATAGAAGACTAAAGATCAATTTCGAGAATACAATCTGGACCCTGGAATATTTTAAGGGTCCTCTTATTGAATAATATAAAGATATTCAAATTTTAATAGAAAGAAGCAAACAAGTCTTTAATATCAGCTAAGATGAATTTTGCAAGCTTTACTATAACGTTCTTTCAACCGACAGACGGCCAAAGCGACATAGAATTTTTAGTCCAGATTTAGTGTTAAGGTCCGGTTTGATGTCTGTGAAGTTTTACTGAAATCGGTTTAGATTTACATATTGTTCCCATACACACTTTTGATAGATTTCATTCAAATGTTCATAGATTTCAGATTGTGATCTATTTAGATCACACATTTTGTTCGCCCGATTCCATTTCAATGGCCATTCAGAGATGCTATGTCTCTTCTTATTTAGTGTATGTACCCAAATTTGTGAGGGTTATCATATAGTCTGCTCCGTCCGACTCTTGATCAGTCCTTACTGGTTACTATTTATACCCTTCACCACACTGTGGTACAGGGTATTATGTCTTTGTGCATATGTTTGTAACAGGCAAAAGGAAACGAGATAGACACATGGTTCCTTTTGAGAACATGCATAGAATCACTTTCTAAGTCGATTTATGCATGTCCGTCCGTCCGTCCGTCTGTCCGTCTGTCTGTCCATGTTAAATTGTAAACAAAGTACAGGTCGCATTTATGATCCGAATTGGATGAAATTTGGCATAGGTCACTTATTCGGCCCAAGGACGAACCCTATTGAAATTGGGAAAAATCGGTTCAGATTTAGATATAGCTCCCATATATATATTTAACCGATTTAATGTAAACGGTCCCTATATATCTTTCGATTTGCACGAAATTTGGTACAGCCTAATCATTTAGGTCAAGAATGATGTCTGCCAAGTTTCGTGAAAATCGGTCCAGATTTAGATATAGCTCCCATATATAGTTTCGTCCGATTTCATGTAAATGGTGCTCCAAAGTCCCCACATATCCTTCGATTTGCAGGAAATTTGGCATAACGTACTTAATTGAGCCTAGAATGATACCTGTCAAGTTTCATGAAAATCGGTCCTGATTTAGATATAGCTCCCATATATAGTTTCGTCCGATTACATGTAAATGGTGCCCCAAAGTCCCTAGATATCCTTCGATTTGCACGAAATTTGGTACAGCGTAATCATTTAGGTCTAGAATGATGTCTGCCAAGTTTCGTGAAAATCGGTCCAGATTTAGATATAGCTCCCATATATAGTTTCGTCCAATTTCATGTAAATGGTGCCCCAAGATCCCTAGATATCCTTCGATTTGCAAGAAATTTGGCATAACGTACTTAATTGAGCCTAAAATGATGCCTGCCAAGTTTCATGAAAATCGGTCCTGATTTAGATATAGCTCCCATATATAGTTTCGTCCGATTTCATGTAAATGGTGCTCCAAAGTCGCTATATATCTTTCCATTTGCACGAAATTTGGCATAACGTACTGAATTGAGCCTAGAGTGATGTCTGCCAAGTTTCATGAAGATCGGTCCTGATTTAGATATAGGTCCCATATATAGTTTCGTCCGATTTCATTAAAATGGTGCCCCAAAGTCTCTAGATATCCTTCGATTTGCACGAAATTTGGTACAGCGTAATCATTTAGGTCTAGAATGATGTCTGCCAAGTTTCGTGAAAATCGGTCCAGATTTAGATATAGCTCCCATATATAGTTTCGTCCAATTTCATGTAAATGGTGCCCCAAGGTCCCTAGATATCCTTCGATTTGCAAGAAATTTGGCATAACGTACTTAATTGAGCCTAAAATGATGTCTGCCAAGTTTCATGAAAATCGGTCCTGATTTAGATATAGCTCCCATATATAGTTTCGTCCGATTTCATGTAAATGGTGCTCCAAAGTCGCTATATATCTTTCCATTTGCACGAAATTTGGCATAACGTACTGAATTGAGCCTTGAGTGATGCCTGCCAAGTTTCGTGGAAATCGGTCCAGATTTAGATATAGCTCATATATATAGTTTCGTCCGATTTCATGTAAATGGTGCCCCAAAGTCCCTATATATCCTTCGATTTGCAGGAAATTTGGCATAACGTACGTAATTGAGCCTAGAAGTACGTTATTGCCAAGTTTTATGAAAATCGGTCCTGATTTAGATATAGCTCCCATATAATGCCTAACGGGTGACCTATTTATATTTGTTTGAAATCGATTTACATACTTACATAGATCTAGGTAGACTCACATTTAGATAAATATCACATATTTTATTTCATCCAATTTCATGTTAATAGTCCTGTTTAATGTACCCATAGTGGTGAAGGGTATCATATAGTCGGCCCCGTCCGACTTTACTACTTTCATTACTGGTTTATTAAGCAAATCATAGACTTCAAATCGTATTCTTCTTAAAATAGCTTAGTCTATTGGTAGGCTATGACATTTTCTATTTATAATTTCTGTCCTTCCTTTCTTGAGGTATAGTTCCTGTGAAAACCCGTTGTAGTCTCCCTAACGAATTAATTCTTCTTTGAATTTATTACATCTATTTACCACCTGTCAACTTAATGTAAGGCTAATAACCACAATCATTTACACTCGGCAAATATCCACAAATTATGATTTTCGTAATATGTTTGGGGCTACATTTGCTCTTTACAAATCGATGTCATTTGAAATGAATATGGATTGATATATTTCACCTTCCATTCATTTCATATTCCATCATTTAGAAGCCACAATTGAAGGCAACATTGTATATGTGTTAATGTCCTTGGGCTCTCACACACAATACTAGTAACTAGTGCACACATTTCATCGATAATATTGAATAATTAATAAACGAAGAAAGATATGTTCGATGATGGCTCTCCCAAATGGGGAAAACATTTTTGCATTTCTTCGTATTTTTGCATTATTAATCATGGCAAGGAAATGTTAAGAAATTTAGTTTGAGTTTTTCTTGAAGCAAATATCGATGCACTATATGGATGTTGGAGATAACATGAGGGGTAATATTTGTTAAAGGGGCGAAAAGGGTATAAATGTGAGAAAATAGTTTTATGTGTGTTTTCTTAAAATAAATCTTGGGGTTTCAACTAATGGGTTATATGGCCCCTTAGTAAATTTTCTAACGGAACTATGTCAAGCTTTTACCAAGTTTTTTTTTTCAAAATGCAAGGAATTTTTAATTTCGTTTTTCTTTTAAAAGAAAAATTTTCCACTTTCTGTAGAAATTCAGTGGTTACTTGGCATTTATTATTCGCTTTTCTAATTTACCTTGTAATTTTTCAGATTTTCCACAACACATGCCAGCAGAGCATCACGACCCAAGGATACCGTCACATTGGCAACTGGTTCAGCAAATCTTGGCATATCATCATCTATTAGGAGAAAGTTTGAATTTGAATGTTCAAATAATTTTAATTGATGGAAGTTAATTATTTATAAGAAAGTGTGATCTGAACAATATACCTTCCACAGAGGCACGTGATTTCTCTTGAGAATGTGAATGTTTGCCTGAAAAGAAATAGGAAATTGTTAGCAATTAAAAAACTATTACAGATATTAACATATTTGCTATTATTAAATAAAATTTAATATGTAGAAAAATAATATAAAAAGGTTGAGAAGTAGAGCTTGTAATAAAGACGACTATAGGTGAACATTTTTCTAAAAGGTTATAAAGGTATATATCAGCTCTTTTGATGCACAATTGTCAAATACAAAGTTATGAGGGAATTCATGTGGCTTATGTTAGAATATGTACCGAATAAAATATTGGTCTAGCACTAAAATCTTGCAACATGAGATTTCGGTACATCGGACACTTGGGATCGTCTTCAATTTGCATAAAAAACATTTACATGATAATAACAATTCTCCTTGGGATTCCACACGAAATTTGACCATTCTATACAAAACTAATATTAAAATTGTCTCAAATATGTCGTAAAATGTCAAAACATGGATGTGGATAGTAAATTTTATATCAGTATTTATACCCTTCACCACCCTGTGGTACAGGGTATTATGTCTTTGTGCATATGTTTGTAACAGGCAAAAATAATCGAGATAGACCCATGGTTCCTTTTGAGAATATGCATAGAATCACTTTCTGAATCGATTTATGCATGTCCGTCCGTCCGTCTGTCCGTCTGTCCATGTTAAATTGTAAACAAAGTACAGGTCGCATTTATGATCCGATTTGGATGAAATTTGGCACAGCTCATTTGTTTGGCCCAAGGACGAACCCTATTGAAATTGGGAAAAATCGGTTCAGATTTAGATATAGCTCCCATATATATTTTTGCCCGATTTACGGACTTTAGACCCTGAAAATCTTTCGATTTGCACGAAATTTGGCATAGCGTACTGAATTGAGCCACGAAAGATGTGTGCCAAGTTTCGTGAAAATCGGTTCAGATTTATATATAGCTCCCATATATAGTTTCGCCCGATTTACGGACTTTAGACCCTGAACATCTTTCGATTTGCACGAAATTTGGCATAGCGTACTGAATTGAGCCACGAAAGATGTGTGCCAAGTTTCGTGAAAATCGGTTCAGATTTAGATATAGCTCCCATATATAGTTTCGGCCGATTTTTGGTAAATGGCGTACCAAAGTCCCTATATATCTTTCGATTTGCACGAAATTTGGCATAGCGCACTGAATTAAGTCTAGAATGATGTGTGCAAAGTTTCGTGAAAATCGGTTCAGATTTAGATATAGCTCCCGTATATATCTTCCTCCGATTTAAGGTAAATGGTGTACCAAAGTCCTTATATATCTTTCGATTTGCATGAAATTTGGCATAACGTACTGAATTGAGGCTAGAATGATGTCTGCCCAGTTTCGCGAAAATCGGTCCAGATTTAGATATAGCTCCCATATATAGTTTCGTCCGATTTCATGTTAATGGTGCCCCAAAGTCCCTATATATCTTTCGATTTGCAGGAAATTTGGCATAACGTACTGAATTGAGCCTAGAATGATGTCTGCCCAGTTTCGAGAAAATCGGCCCAGATTCAGATATAGTTTCGTCCGATTTAATGTAAATGGTGCACCAAAGTCCCTATATATCCGTCGATATATTTGGATAGAGCTTCCATATATATTTTCGCCCGACTTTAAGTAAATTGGACGTCAAACTCTTCATGCTAGTCAGGTTGACATCAAATTTTGCACAACGTACAAAATTGAATTACGTAGTTGCGTTTTCTAGAAGTACAGACATAGCCCAACAGATAACCTATTTATATTTGATTGAAGTCGATTTATATAACTTATGGATATATAGGTAGATTCACATTTAGATAAATATCACATATTTTATTTCATCCAATTTCATGTTAATAGTCCTGTTTAATATACCCATAGTGGTGAAGGGTATCATATAGTCGGCCCCGTCCGACTTTACTACTTTCCTTACAGTTTTTTTTTATCAAATATATATATATATATATATATATTAATGAAAAGCCGGAAGAGAGAAGAAGCCGACAGATGATAGAGGAGGTGAGTAAGGACATCGCCAAACTTATAACCTGAAAAAAGCAGTTGTCTGGGTCCCAAAGGCGGAAGTTGGCAAAAAATGCGAGATGCAGACAGAGACTCAAAAGGATAAGCCTGACCTTCCCTCCACTTCTGTAGAAGCTGCGAAGAGGATAAGGTCTCCGGAAGAGGAGGCGACTGTCAAATCCGCCAAAAAGAAAAAGACCTTCCCGTCAAAGGAGATTGCCACGAGAATGCACTGACGAATGTAGACGAAGCTGGCTCTGATATTAGGAAGACGAGTGCTGAGTCGGAATCTTCTGCAAAGATCGGGAATCCCAAAAGGACCAAACGGTATTTGCGAAAGAGGAAGATGACAGCAACAGATAAGAAGCCGCCGTCTTATGCGAATGTTGCCAGGAAACGCTATCGAGATGAGCTCTGCTATGCAGTGATCGACGGAAATAGCGCGTCCGGTAAGCTGAATAAAGAGACCCATAAGGAGGTGTTGAATGTGGTCAACACCAAGATCATGGAGCACCTACAACAAGGAGGGACTCCATTGACCTGGATAGCTGCGTTTTCAAAGGGGACTATCTAATGCTGGAATTTGAATCACCAAATAGCATAGAATCCCTAAGGAAGGTACATAGTGGCAAACATTGGACCCATAGATGGAACAATCAAACTCAAGCTGGTGAGGAAAAAAGACATTTCTCGTCAGAGGTTGGGGCAGCGATTTCGACACGGAACGTATGCTCATCATGTGAAGAAATTGGAAGTCTTCCACAGGGAGCAGAAGATGAAAGGAACTCTCCTTGTATTAAACTTGGACAGGTCTTCAATGGCAAGTCTGAGGTCTGAAAGGTACTAAATGATTCCATATTTAGTATAGAGCTAGTATAGGTAGTTTTGGAAATACTTACTATAAGAGAACAAAGGTACCAAATGGTACTAAAATAGCTAGTTATTGTCCTCTCATATTTAATTAAAATCAGTAAGAAAAGTAGAAAAGTCGGACGGGGCCGACTATATGATAATCTTCACCACATTGGGTACATAAAAGAGATGTTAATATCAACAATATCCTGTATATCTAGATAGATATTTGAACCAATTGAAAAAACCCCATACACATACCATTCTGAAATCAATGAAAAAGTTCATGTCAAACAGGCAGACTTGTATTCTTTGGAGTACCATTTGTAGGAAATCGAGAAAAATTATGTATGGGAGCTATATATATTAAGATGGTACTAATTGAGCAACTGCTCCATACACCATTTGTCAAATTTCGTGTAAATCGAACAAACATAGGCCCTTCGGTGCACTATTTACATAAAATCGAAGTAAAATATATACAAGACCTATATCAAAATCTGAACCGATTTCAATAAACCTTATCACACATCATTTTTCCTCAACTGCATTCGCTATGCAAAATTTTGCTTAATCGGATAAATATTGGGAGTTAGGTGTATCATTCACAAAAAATCGGATGAAACTATATATGGGACCTATATATAAATCTGAACCGATTTTAACAAAACTTCGCAGACATCAGTCTGCACTTAATTCAGTACTCTGTGCAGAATGTTGTCCCAATCGGACAAATATTGGGAGTTCGGTGTATCATTCACAAAAAATCGGACGATATATGGGAGCTATATCCAAATCTGAACCAATTTTATTAAAACTTCGCAGACATCAATTCCCTAACCAGATGTCCTTCTAGACCCATTTTGTTTCAATGTGCATAATTTTGTGTCAATCGAGCTATAATATAATTATATATGTCTAAATTTAAACCGATTTCGAAAAACCTATCACACATAATAAAATACTTATTTTAACTTTGGGTTTAATGGACTACTAAAATAAAATCAGACGCATGTCTATCCGCACGGAAGATATCGCTGTATTTAAGATAGAGCTTTGAAATTTTGTGCATACATTGCTATTACTCTTAGAATATTTGATATTCAAAATGGGATATACCTAGGGAATCCCATTGAGCTGAAAATCTCCTTACGAAAATTAAAAAAATATTGGTCCATGTTTCGGGGTAGCCCTCTTATTCCCCTAATATTGAAAAATTAAAGCTTGTTTCTTTTCCATTCTAATTAGCTGTAATTTAGTATTTCGGTTTCTTACTGGGTAATAAATATTCCTACAAAAACTTTTCAATATTGATTAACCTCTTTTTTCGGTATTTCGATGCATTTGGACAATTCATAGGATTTTGTTTCATATTCTCTATGATTGATATTTGACTGTTTCGATAGTGGTTCCAAAATTATGTTCCACTGTGTCTGACGTCCTGTTAACTTCATCTCAACTACATGGCCAGTTAACAAATACCTCCATAAAAAATATTCCTTCTCTTAATTTTCCACAATTTACCGCAAAATATGACAAGGACCAAAATATGTTCCCATTCCGTAAAGAGGAAGGCGGAGAGCCAAAAACATATTTCCCATATCTTCTTAGTATGTGTAATTTATTAAAAATGTTTACCCCAAAAAAAAACTTCAACTGCAGCAGAGGCAGTAACAAACCAAAGAAACCAAACTATAGTTAACATATTTCAGGCTTTCAGTGCTTAAAACATATTTCCCATAACGTCATGTTAGCATCTTTGTATTGCCCTAAAGGCAACAACCGATTCTCTCAGTTGCAACATACACACAATCTGTGTTGTTGGCAGATAAAATATGCAGCCCAATAGAAAACCCCTCCATCTGCCCCCCATAATGTAACCCAATGATATTCTTCAGCCATGGAGAAGAAACCAAAGTATGTTTGCTAAAGGTTTGAATTTTTCATGATGATGGTGTATTGTAACCTTAAATACATCCTCAACACCAACTAACCAACCATGTAT